ACACAGGTATTAAGCGTGAGATGGGGGGGGGGGGCGGAGCTGAGCCCGTTAAGAGCAGTTCGGCACTTTTAGAACCAACTCACGTGTATCGCCGACATAGAGGTCATTACAAACAGCATCTCGGCTCCTGGAAAGAGTCTCTCCGCCATACACAACCACCAACGGACCAATCATAGAACACGAATGGTACCTCAGACCCTTGGGCTCAGCGCGTTTCGCCACCTTGGTGGACAGAAGCCGTGTTAGCTGCTCCGTAAGTCGGGGGCAGGACTCTGCGTTCTCCTGCGGGACACAAACACTGATAATGCCATTTTGGAGGCCTCTGTCTGTATATTTGGCTGCACACGGAATCTCCATCACATGCTGGAACGCTTTTATTAGCCAGCAAATTTACCAAAATTTTCCAACAAATGGAATTGCTTTTGCAATTGTTTGACATTTGTGTAAAGTTCCCTTTGCCTTCAGAAACTCAGGTCAGGTGGTCATCTTGGTCGGGGTGAGTCTTGTTGCAAACTGGAATGACCCCCATCACAACCATTGCCGTGATCGGTTGGGAATTTTGCTTTGCAGCTTAGCTACTGTTGTCACCACACTGTTGCCTATGTACATAATGCCTCATATGGATTCTCCATAGAAAGATATGGGGAACATGGGCAAGCTTTATGAGCTCCAGACTGGCATGGCTATCTGTGGGGTTGGGGGAAATGCACCTCTGTGGTTTGGGCAGCAGTGAAGTGTTTCACTTTAAGAAGAAATCAAATGCAGGCGGAGATGCAATTCAAGTTAAATGTTAACATGTTTAGGGTTCATCAAAGCCTAAGGACAAAGCACCCCAAATATTGCCAGTGAGTTTATGGAGTTAGTGCTGGTCAACCTGGACATAATGGGCACAGCGGGTGTACAGACCCAGGAACTCAGCACAGGGATGGTGGGAGCTCCTCATAATGGGCACAGCAGGTGTACAGACCCGGGAACTCAGCACAGGGATGGTGGGAACCCCTCATAATGGGCACAGCAGGTGTACAGACCCGGGAACTCAGCACAGGGATGGTGGGAGCTCCTCATAATGGGCACAGCGGGTGTACAGACCCGGGAACTCAGCACAGGGATGGTGGGAACCCCTCATAATGGGCACAGCAGGTGTACAGACCCAGGAACTCAGCACAGGGATGGTGGGAGCCCCTCATAATGGGCACAGCAGGTGTGTAGACCTGATACTGATACCAGTGAAGGGTCACATTGGCGATTTCAGGAGTTTGGCCCTGTAACATGTGTTTCAATGAATTGTGGACTTCACCTTTAAGATAATTTTGTACAAACATTTTTTTGGTGTATTTTTGTCAAAATGTTGGAAAAACACAATTCCCGGAGCTTGGGGGGTTCTAGCGCTTACATCGCACTATGAAACCCACCTGAACTTTGCCTGCTCCCCAGTGCCCGACCACATCAACCTCAGACGACTCCCGTCCACCGAAAACATAGAGGTTGTACCCAACTTTTTTTGTCCTCTTTATGTCTCTTCTTAAGAGAATGGCAGAGTGCCCGGACCGGGACGCGGTGTGCGACTCCTCCTCCTTGTACCTAAAATGTCAGAGACAATCATTTCATAAAAGGATTTACTTCTGTCACAAAAATGAAAAAAAAAATGTTCTTTGCCATTTTGTATGTAGGTAAGGAGAATGTATGTACTTCAGATGGCGTTATGTCTGCATTGTGTATTGTGGCTTCCATATAGCTCTTGAAGAAGCCAGACCCCTAAGGAAAATAGAACCGCCTCCAAATAGCAGAGCCCACCTCCAAGGGTATAGTTACCAGATTTACCATCTTAGCTACAAGCTGTCACATGTAGCTAAGGGGAATGTATGTACTTGTACTTCGAGTGGATCCTGGTTATCTTATAGCTCTGGAAGAAGCCACACCCCTGAGGAACCTGGAACAGCATTGCAGATTTACCACCTTTAAGCTGTCATACTTTTACATCTTCTGGCTAGCAACAAAAAAAAAAACAAACACTCTGCTAGTTACTGGGTTAAGAGCAATTACTGATCAGTATTATATCAGAGACGGTAACTGTTAAAGCCGGAGGTCAGGGATAGGCAACTTCAGCCCTCCAGATTTGGTGACACCATAAATCCTGTCATGCCTGTGGCTGTCAGAGTCTTGCAATGCCTCATGGGACTTGTAGTTCCACAACGCCTAGGGTGCCAAGGTTGCCACAGTTAGCTCTAATGTAGATGTGATGGGAGAATAGACTGAATTACTTACGAGTAGGTCTTTGAGCGGGCATTTAGCCGCAGGGTATACACACTAGCATACCGCCTCTGTGTGCGCAGTCCACCCTCCCTGCCGACTATGCAGAGCTCATTGTCAGAAATCTTGGTACATGTGTGGCTACTCAGCCCCGCTGGAGGGTTGCTGGACGGTTCCCCTGTCCATGTCGCCCACTCTGTGGTCTCCGTGTCATAGCTCAGGATGGAGGACAGGCGCTGTGAGCCGTCCCAGCCCCCCACCACACACAGCCACCTCTCCCCCAGTGGAGCGGCGTCATGGTGGCTCCTCTGGGACACGACCTGTGGAACGCTGCTGTTTGATGACTTTTGCTCCGGGTCAAAGGTCACCACATCACCAAGTGGAGGTTCTTTGGGGTCCCGTGATCTGATACCGCCATATAGATAGAGTTTACCCCCAATGGGAGTACAGGTGTGGAACGCGCGGGCGAACTGGGCATCCTTAGCCACTGGAGTCCATGTCCATTGAGAGGATATCATGGAGTGTCCTTTCTGGAATAAGAGAGAGGAGTAATGGCAAGATTTAGGTAAATTCCCAGACACGCCTACTGTACTAAGACATGCCCCCAATTCCTAAAGACACGCCTACTGTACTAAGACATGCCCCCAATTCCTAGACACGCCTACTGTACTAAAACATGCCCCCAGTTCCTAGACACACCTATTGTACTAAGAGATGCCCCCAGTTCCTAGACACACCTACTCTACTAAAACATGCCAATTCCTAGACACACCCACTCTACTAAGACATGCCCCCAATTCCTAGACACACCTACTCTACTAAAACATGCCAATTCCTAGACACACCCACTCTACTAAGACATGCCCCCAATTCCTAGACACACCTACTCTACTAAAACATGCCAATTCCTAGACACACCCACTCTACTAAGACATGCACCCAATAACTTGGCACACCTACTGTACTAAGACATGCCCCCAGTTCTTAGACACACCTATTGTACTAAGAGATGCCCCCAGTTCCTAGAAACACCTATCCTACTAAGCCATGCCCCCAATTCCTAGACATACCTACTCTACTAAGACATGCCCCCAATTCCTAGACACACCTATCCTACTAAGACATGCCCCCAATTCCTAGACATACCTACTCTACTAAGACTTGCCCCCAATTCCTAGACACGCCTACTGTACTAAGACATGCCCCCAATTCCTAGACACGCCTACTCTACTAAGACAAGCCCCCAGTTCCTAGACACACCTACTCTACTAAGACATGCCCCCAATTCCTAGACACACCTATCCTACTAAGACATGCCCCCAATTCCTAGACATACCTACTCTACTAAGACTTGACCCCAATTCCTAGACACGCCTACTGTACTAAGACATGCCCCCAATTCCTAGACAC